GGATTTGGGAAGGTGCCTAGAGCCAGTGCCTAGAGCAGTTATCACCTTCAATAGCCTGAGATTTTACACTTGAACAGACACATAAACCTGTTGAACTGGCTCACACTTGAAGGAAGGTGCCTTACCTAAATCAATGAGACCAAATAAATTTTGGGAATATTTTTCAGCTTGGCCTGTGCCTACTGAGCCTCAGCCCAGCACCATCAGAAGAGGCAGGATGAGGGAGTGACAAAGAGACAAAGGAGGCAGAAATCACTCAGGCCATAAACCCCAAGTTTTAAAGGAGCTGCGAGATCTGTGGGGAAATTACAGCCACAAGCCAGGTGAGCAGATTGCTACCTAGTTGCTCCAACATCAGGATACTGGGGTCTGCTGCCAGGAGTTAGCCAGCAGGCCAGGCAGCTGGGATCCCTAAGGAGACACACCACGATTGGCAAAGGGAAGCCTTTAGACATAATTCCTGCTGACAACGAAAGTCAGTTACTCCCTCAAGGATGACTTGGTACAATGCTTGGGCAAGTGAACAACCACTGTAAAAGGCATCCAATGCTTGAGGGAAGTAGAGGTGGTGGGACTGCACCCAGTCCATGTGCAGAAGGTGCACATAACTCACCAGTGTTGGATTCCAGCACCATGGGGCTGATGCACTGGGCAAACCCCAAACCACTAACTGCAGAGTGACTGTTCCAATGGCTCCCAGGATTCAAAGAGAACTTCCCCTCCTCCCCCTGACCAAAGGTCTAGGTCTCGGCTGCCAGAGATGCCCCTCAGAGCTGTCTCTGTCCTGTCAGAGGGAAAGGGGGATCCATGCCATGCCATGCCAGCCTGTGGTTCCTCCTGCACAATCGGGAGGATGAAGAAGGGGAACAATGTGCCCACCTCAAATCTAGAAGCCCACATGCACGGACTACAAGGAAAACCACTGCTACAAAGCACCCACCTAAGAACACTGGTTTGACAGCCTGGCATGTGATCCACAGAAGTGGAAGGCTTTGCTGGACACTGATGCACAGTGTACCCTGACATCATCAGATTACAAGGGAGCAGAATCCATCTGGATTTCTGGAGTGACCTAGACTGGGAATGTCAGGGTCAGTTATCCATAGCTTAGTGAGCCCATGAAACATCACGACATCTAGGGAAAGATGCAATATGTGGGTGGGCTTATGCTTGAGGGGTGCACCTGACAACCAAAGTATCACACAGATGGTAGATGGAAGTTCTGTAAAGGGCAGGGAGAGGGTAATTCAGAAAGATGGGCAAGAGGAGCATCAGGCAACAAGTACAAAATCTTTTTTCCCTAACTAATTTCCACACTAGAATTGAATTGACTTTGTCTGCATGCAGGATCTACATACTGAGATTTCACAACAGTGACATGCTGATGCACGGTTTGGGCTTCTCAGTACTACAAGATTACAAAGAACGAGCGGTAGCCTCTGCTGATACAAGTCAGCATGGTTCCATTGACTGCAGCCACCTCACTGACTTAGACAAGACTTAATCAAATACATCTGTGATCACTCTTCTATTATTCCTTCCCACTGGGGTCTCAGTGTTATTCAAGACACCGACAAGGATGAAAATCAACATAATGTCAGTCACAGCTTCAAAGTCTGTCTGTCCACAGCCCATACTCCATCTAAATTTAATTTAGTAAGATTTATCTGAGCCTGATGTAAGTAAATTAATCATGCAGAGCACTGACCTATCCTACCCCAAGCTACTATGCCCCACCCTGCATGTTTATTTGGAAGGTAATCTAATTTGCTGCAAATGTGCTTATCTAGATGGAAAGCAAACTGTGATAGATACCTTAGGAGGAAAAAAGCTTTCCAGGATGCATGCCTCAGTGAATTTTTATGAGGAATACAGAATCTATTGTCCTGTTGTTGTTGATCTGCACTGGCATTATTCACCTGCTCCCCACTCTTTGTCTCCATATGTTTGTGAAGCACTGTTAAGCTCCTAAACTCCAGTCAGTTCAAAACTGAGTAGAATGCACCAGCCCTTCTCCCTGGGTTTCTCATAAAGAAAGTTTAAGCAACTCTAGAGAGCTGCTGGGTAACAACCTCCCACCTTGCAAGGTACCTTTAGCAAATGAGAGTGAAATCCTGAGAGATGTTTGCTAGCATGACGCTGAAGCACAAGAGCCCACTGAGAAGCCAGAAGTGGCATATCCTGGCTTTGTAAAGCAGAAGAGAGCCAGAGCACAACACATTGACCTGAGTAAGAAACACTGTGGATGTCTCATTTTCCTAAATATATACAATACCAACCACTGATGAAACAATTAGAGGGCAAAATTATGATTAATATCATCTTCTAGATGCAAGCTATCTTCTGTCCCACTCCAGGCTGTTGCATCTTGCTCAGCTTTGCCTCCCAAGCTCATCTTGCACTTTGGCTTTGTCTCACCAGTGTGGTAAGAGAAGGATCAGATTCCCAGCAGTACTTTCCTCTTACTCCCTGAGGTGAAGCAGAACAGACCTGGGAGGAAGGTGTGCTGGTGGATGCTGAGGCAGGGATAATAGATGGATGGTCCCAACACCAGACAGAGGATGTATCTTGTTATTTCCCCTCTTTCCAACCATGTCACTGGTTTCAACACTTTTCTCTTGGTGGTCCACATCCACTTGCCTTCCCTATTTTCATCCATTTCAGAAGAGAGCCTTCTACCCTACAGCTCTACTCTACATCCTTGCAGAATATGGCAGTGTTGTAAATGCAGGCGAGCCCAATGAGAAGAAATTACAATGTCTGACTCAATTCAGAAGGCTGAATTATTTCTTTATTATAATGATGCTAAAATACATTAATATACTATATAATGGAAGATACTAAAACTGCATACTACTTTCTCTAACTCTATATCTAACTCTTAACTCGTGACCCTCTCGTGAGAGTCCCGACACAGGCGGATTGGATTTGCCATCAGGCTCAAACAATCCTCACCAGAATCCAATCAAGCATTCACTCCAGGTAAACAATTCTCCAAACACATTCCACATGAGAAAAACAAGGAGCAGAAATATAAATAGCTTTCTCTTTCATTTCTCTCTGTGCACCTCTATGAAAAATCCTGAGAGGGTGAAATGTACTGCCACATGGAAAGTAATGCATGAAAGTAATCTCTGCTGCAGGCCCTCAGCCAGACAAACGGACTGATAATATCGAGATGTGTGAGTTGTGTGTGTGCAAAAGCTGTAGAATAGCCAGCTGAGAGCGTAGGAATGGCTGTACTAATGAGGATAAAACAGAGCAGAAGGGTGAAGTGATCCGAACACAGCCCGTCGCCAGCCGATCCGGCTGTAGGCTGCTGCCCTCCTATGGCAAACTGGGACAGCAGTCCTGGTGCCCGGAGCAGCTCTCCGTGCTGCTGAAACGTACCGAGTTCAGCTGCTGGTTCCGGCTGACAGAAATCACAGCTGCCAAACACCCGGTTTGTCATCTCGCTGTTTGTCTGAAGTAGAAAATCAACACCCTGGGGCACTCGGCCTTTCTGCGCTGCCGGGGAAGCTTTTGTGGTGGAAAGAACTGTGTGCTGCTCAAGGAGCATTTGCCATCCTGAGCCTGCGTGTGACACTTAGCGTTGAACAAAAACATCCCTGCAGAAAAGGTGCAGATCTGTGGCTCTTCTCCCTTAGTGACAGCTCTTTGTTGCTATTGTTGGGGCTTGTTTCTAATGTCTGTATTTCAGCAACACAGGAGCTGGTGATTCGTGGGCCCATGAGGCACTCATGAAGTTCAAGTGCAGGGGGCTGCATCTGGTGGGACAATCCCATATATGAGCACAGACTGCAAGAAGAACTTACTGAGAGCAGCTCTGAGGAGAATGACTTGGGGGCTCTCAGGTATAAAAAGCTGAACACAACCCAGCAGTGTGTGCTCACAGCCCAGAAAGCCAATTGTGTCCTGAGCTACAGCAAAAGCAGTGTGGGCAGCAGGGCGACAGAAGGGATTCTGCCCTTCTGCTCTGCTCCTGTGAGATCCCACCCGGAGTGCTGTGTCCAGCTCTTGGGACCTCAACACAAGAAGAAGGATGTGGATCTGTTGGAGCAAGTCCAGGGGTGGCCACAAAGATGATCAAAGGGCAGGAGCACCTCTCCTACAAAGGCTGAGAGAGTTGAGCACGTTCACCCAGGAAGAAGCTTAAAGGGAAACCTCACTGCAACCTTCCAGCACCTTGAGGGGGCTTGTGAAAAGACAGAGACTTTTTAAATGAGCCGATAGTGATGGGACATGGGGCAAGAGTTTTAAACTAAAAGAGGACAGGTTTAGATTAGATATTAGGAAGAAATTCTTTACTCCGAGGAGGGGCAGTCATTGGCACCGGTTGCCCAGAAAAGATATCTCTGAGGTGTTAGATATAAACTCCATATCCCTCTACTGCCCAGTTACTTTCCTGGTGAACCAAGAAATTAATTCATAATGAAAATTAGACTTGTATGTATTTGAAAAAAAAATGTAGCTTTATGTTCACATAAATCACTGAGATTTGGATTAGATATTAGGAAGAACTTCTTTACTGTGCGGGTGGTGAGGTACTGTCACATGTTGCCCCAGAAGCTATGGATGCCCCATCCCTGGAAGTGTTCAAGGCCATGGATAGGACTTAGAGCAAGCTGCTCTAGTGGCAGGTGTCTGTGCCCACGGCAGGGGTTCGGAACTAGATGATCCTCAGGCTCGTTTCCCTGGCGTTTCACAGAGCGGAGCCGCCCCACGGCGCGGCCCCGGCTGAGGGCGGCACGGCGGCCCCGGCGCTGCGCTCCTCCCACCGCACGGGGGCGCTGCGCCGCCGCCTCCGGCCGAGCCCTGCCGCGCACTACAGTACCCAGCATGCGCCGCGGGGCCGGCCGGAAGCGGCAGCGGGCGGGCGGAAGCGGAGGGCTGGGGCGCCATGAGGGGCGTCGGGAGCAGCGGCGCCCTCCGCGCCTGGGCCGGCCCGCTCCTGCTCCCGGTGCCGGCCCGGCTGCCCCCGGCTCCTCGCAGAGGTGAGAGGCGCCGTGCTGCGGCCCCTCGGGGTGGGTGGCTGCCGGTGTCGGGTGAACCCGTGTCTGTGAGCGCCGCTGGGGCCGCACAGGGCGCGGGGCCCGTCGCTGAGGCGCTGCGGGAGGGAGCGCTGAGCGCCTTCCCTCGGGGCTGGAGCAAGGGGTGAGTGTCACGGGCGGGAGCAGCCAGGTGAGGGGCTGTCAGGGGTGTTCGGGACGGGAGGACTGGCCGGGGTGCAGGGGTGTCATCCGGAGGTGTCGCAGGTACGCGTGTGCGAAGTGGTTTTCTCAGCTCCTGGGAGAGGAGCATCCGCTCGAGACTGCAGCAGTGGAGCAACCAGAGCTAAAATACCAGCTTTCCTGAGACAGTGTCTGTGCAATGTAGCTCTTCAACCCAAAGAAAAAACCCACCTCTATGTTTAGAAGACAAGAGCCGTGTGTTTAAAAGCTGGGACAGCTCCATAAAAGCAGTGTTTTAAATTGGTTTTCATTATTTGAGTGTAGCATCTGGTGCGTCTTAACTCTAATATTGTCATTAATAATAAAGTGCTATGGCAGTATGAGTTGTAGTCAGATTTTTACAGTATTTGTAAGATAGCACATAACTTGATTTATCTAGTAGTGACACAAAATTATAAATTCCTTATTGTTTAAATGTTATAAAGCTTTTGAGTACAGATCTGGATAAGACACAGAATTTGGTTAAGGCAGAGAGCTGGCAGTGCATGTAGTTTCACATGAACAGATGAAGAAGTAACAGGGCTGCTTAGAGAACAAAGAATCAGAGCAGAATCTGTAATATGCAAAGCCACACAAACATAAGGTGAAGAAAAACATATGCTTGAAGTAAAAGTTGGAGAAGCAGTGAAACCTGCTTGTGGGAGAGCACATCATAAATAGCGTGGATCATTAACTAATACCTGAGGTTAACTAATATCTCTGTAGAGATTAGGTATTCCTCATCTCTGAGGTGTTAGATAAAACATCATATCCCTTTATTGCCCAGTTACTTTCCTGGAAACCAAGAAATTAATTCGTCATGAAAATAAGACTTGCATTTTTTTAAGTTTTTTTTTTATTGTAGCTTTATGTTCACACAAGCCACTGAAAATGAGGTATTTGGATTAGGTATAAGGAAGAAATTCTTTACTGTGAGGCTATTGAGGCACTGGCACAGGCTACCCGGGGAAACGATGGATGCCCCATCCCTGGAAGTGTTCAAGGCCAGGTTGGGTGGGGCTTTGACCAGCCTGATCTGGTGGAAGGTGTCCCTGCCCATGGCAGGGGTTCGGAGCTAGATGATCTCTAAGGTCCCTTCCAAACCAAAGCATTCTATGATTCTGTGATAAAATAAAAAGCTGTTGGAATTAAGGCTCAGTTATTTAAATAAAACAGCAATAAATGCTTGATTGCATAAAGTCATTCAGTGTTCTTTACAAGTATGAAAATTATTTCAGTGATGTTTCCCAACTATTATAAAACAGTTGGCTGTGGGGTTTATTTGTGCTGTATCAGGATGCTTGTCTGTTGTACAGTTATATGAACACACTTCAGACAGATCTGTAAGTCCTGTTTAATGTAAATTCCCTGTGGAAAAGGGTTGATGGTTGCTGGTGTGTTGCAACCCAGCTTTTTGTTGCAACATCCATACAGCTTTTCTGTGATGAAAGAAATGAAGATTAGTGTATTGCATAAGCCAATCAAGGTAAGATTAAGGCATGTTTGGTTGTTTCCAGGTTTTGCTGCCACAATCGTTAGGAAGTCATATGATGTCAGAAGAGTTGATATCACTCCCCTGGAGCAGAGGAAGGTGACTTTTGATACCCATGCTTTAGTGCAGGATCTGGAAGCCCATGGTAAGTGATGTCAGATAAATAATTCAAAGGAAGACTTTTAATATTAAGTAGTGTAACTTTGAGTGCTGTCAGTTTCCCCCGAGTACCAGTGGTGTAAAATGTTTTAGCAGCCTCTTGAGGAGGCTGGTGAAGGAGAGGCATCAGATGGTGTGCCCTACAAATAACTAGGACATTTGATTGACCTCATTTGTAGCTGTAAGCAGGTTTATGTGGTGTCTTCCAGCTGAGGAACGTAACACAGGTAACAGATGTGAAGTAACAGTTAAAGACTTCTACAGCAAAAGTGAAGCTCTTCAATAAATTCCTTCTATTAGCCTGCTAAGAGTAGCTGAAGGTTTTTTTCCTAGTGAGAAATATTCTCAGCAGCACAGTGCTGTGATACATTCTCAATGCCCACTCCTCTGTTGTGAGTGAGGCTGGCTGAATTCAGATAAAGGGTCCATCCAGCCCTGGGTTCTGTCTCCTGGCAGCAGCTGAGTCAGAAGTGTTATAACAGGGTAGATGTATGTCACACATCCTCTTGTATTTTCCAGGTTTCTAGTTTCTGTCACCATGGAGTTACTTTAAATTGGTTGAGAGTTTTAGTAACCGTCAGTGGAAGTCTTTTCACAAGTTTATGCAGTCCCTGAGCCACTATAAACTGATTACTATCCAGAGCATCCTTTCTCATGGAACTTCAGACATCTGTGTGGTCTGTTTATGCAGAATCTGGCATCTATGAGGTGCATTTGATGCCCACTCAGCTCTTCTGTGGGAAGGAGTGAACATTTAATCTCTCATGCCACTCAGAATTATGCAAACTTCTGTCTATTGCCCCATCATTTTCCAAACAGAAGAATCCTAGCTTGTTGCTTTTTTTCCTGAAGCAGTAGATTTTCCATATTTTTGATTATTCACTATGCCCTTCTGTTAATATTTTCTGCTTCTGTCACATTCCATTTCATGTTTTCAGGGAACAGTGCTGGCATTACTTGACAACTGAATGTCCTATGGCTTTGCATAGTAAAGTAATGCTGCATCCACTGTTCCTTTTCCTAGTCATTCAAAGGGTTTGGTTAGCTTTATTCATCCCTGCTGAGCTTTGAGCTGATATCTTCATCAGGCTAGCAACTATTTTTTAAAATCCCAAGTGATAGTAGAAACTTTGTACTGTCAGAGTTTATAATTGTTTCCACTATTTGTGTCTAATAATAATATGTGTTAGTAGTTAAAAGACTCACAGTAATCTGCTATGTTTATTTTTATCATGCTTGTCAGACTTGACAGCCTGCACTTCCCTACTTCTCTCTAGAACTGCTTTTTAAAACTGGCACTTTTATTTTCCATGGTAGGCTGTGAAATGTTACTTGTCCTAGAGGCTGATTCAGCTATTTCTTCTTCAACCTCCTTTAGAACTTCTGGGATGAAGTCTGGTACCAGTTGTTACTCAGTTTAATTTGTTCTATAATTTCTACAAATACTTCTACCACAGTGACAGATCTTTATAGGTAAAACCACAAAAATAAGAGAGCCATTTTAGTTTTTCCCAAGCTTTTGGCAGTTTTCAGGCTTCAGTCTCTTGCTTATATATATTTTTTTTCCCCTCATTTTCTAAACTTTCACAAAACAAAGTAATTTCTTGCTGTGGGGGAAGAGCAACATAAGGAATTGGCAAGAGTTTAAGTAACCCTGAAAATTCAGAGAACCTGAAGCAATACTATCACACTTTGTAGTGGAAAGAAGCTGCTGTAAAGCATGTGTACTTTTTTAGACATGTAAGCCAGTGGTGCACTTGGACAGTACCAGTATTTTAGAAGGGTGCAGTGGTATAGTTCTCTAAATAATGTGCCTTGAAAGCAATTTTCAATGTTAATTTAGCCCACTTTATAGAATGGGCTAGTTGAAACACAACATACCAATCAGATTGCTGGAAATAAATCTCTAGGGCAAAAGCTCTCAGCACCTGACCAGATCTGACTAAAATGAGAGCAATTTTTCTTCCTCATTATTCACCACACATCATCTGTAGCACTTCAAATTTACACCAAGCTACAGACAAAGTGTACTTTTTATCATCAGAAAGCAAAAATCCCAGTTTGAGTTAATTCTGCAGGCAATGAATGCAGCAGTTTAAAAATCAGTTTTGCCTGTGTTCCTATCTCTGCAGGACAGTTCCAATATATGCAGAATTACTTATTATTCTATAGAGTGTATGCTTTGTAGCTCAAGGTAAGTTTGGTTTTAACAGAATTTGTGAATGTTCATTATGAAGTTTTGCTAAATTATTTTTTTAATGCATGAACGGCTGGATCTTGTACAAAGAAATTTGGTCTTTCTTTCAGCTGCATGTGTAGATTTTCAGTAAATTAAAAGGTGCTGTGCTTCAGATTTTTCCAGCATTAACTTTGTTTTTTCTACCTGAAGTCACGGTGCCTGGCTCCTGGCTGTCAGTCCCCAGTCATTGTGTGAATGTGCTGCTGTGGTAAGGTCTGGCACTTGAGCATCTCTTGCTCCTCATCCAGATTTTTAATACCACCATAACTTATCATCCTTCAATTATCCCCTAGGCTTTGGGAAGGAGCAAGCACAGACCATTGTGTCAGCGTTGATAACCCTGTCCAATGTCAGCTTAGACACCGTCTACAAGGACATGGTCACACAGGCCCAGCAGGTAAAAACTCATCTGTGCTGTGTAGCTATAAAGGCCTTGTTTGCATCTTTAAAACACAAGTGAGCAGCTCTCTCTAGTACTATAAATACCTCCCTGTGCCAGGTTTTCCTAAGTTTCACTTGGGATTTTAACAGATAGTTATAGGGCCTGACCAGCTTCCACTGAAGTCTGACTACTTCATTGAACACAATGAAGTTTGTACAATTCCTGGGAAAACTCTGGTTGCATTTACATTGAGGAGCTAATATGCCTCATGCCATCATAAAATATTCATTATCAGTACTAACTACACTATAAAAACCAGTGTTTCCACCTAATGCAATTCCATGCCAATTTTGTTCAGGATGCTTTGCATGTAATAGGATTTTTAAAAATAAAGGTTTTCATTCTGGTGAAAGAAGATCACATCTGATGATAAAAAGTTTTGTTTTCTTCTGAGATGTAGAAGGAAAAAACAAGTTAGACAACTTTTATTACAAGTAAATGCCAGTAAGATAAAAACCTGTTAGAAGAAAGGCTCAGCAGTTCAAATAAAATAGCAATGAATGCTTAATTACATTAAGGAATTGAAGAAGAACAGCACATAATTTCAGCCTGCACAGCCTTCTGGAGCAATGATCAAAATCGTCCCTGTGCATCAGAGAATCCCACAGCAATGTGTCTTTTTCCATGCTAAATAGTAGGGTAACTTCCATATGCTGGGTGAAGGAGTATTGCTTTCAGCATTTTAAAATACTGAGTTTCTTCCTTTATTTTCTGGGTTGGGTTTCTTCCTGTGTTTATACGTAGTGTTTGAATTCTGAACTTGTTAGTTCAAACCCCAGGAAGGCTTTCTCAGTGCTTCTAAGCAGTGTTTTACTTCTGTCCATCAGACTTTGAAACTGGCAGTGTAATACTCATATCATTAAATCTTTGGCTTTGGCCTAAGAGTTTGTAGGCAAGAAATGGAAGTGCTTAGTAAGAGCTGCATTCAAATCAACAATTAATGCTTCTGAGGCTACTGAATGTTCATTGAAAGTGGAAGAGACTGCAGGAGTGACCTGTAGTTTCAGGTATATTTCATTTCATCCCTACTTGGACTAACACCTCTGATCTTTTTGCTTAAATTCAGAGTTGGTGTATTAAAGCAACAGATTAAAGCAACAGAAAAAGCACAAAACTCTTGAGTCATTTAAACAAACTGCTGGTATTAAATTGTCTCTTTCTGTCACAATCTTGTTAGGGAGACTCCCCACTTTTGTGCTTTGCAGTAGCTAATTTCATCATTTCAGACCTAAACATTTTTTCTTTACTTGTCAGAAAGAGTGCACCTTAATCAATGGCATTTTTTATTTTTCAAAGGAAATAACTTTACAGCAGATAATGGCACATTTGGACTCCATTCGAAAAGATATGGTCATCCTGGAGAAAAGTGAATTTGCAAACTTGAGAGCAGAAAATGAGGTACTAATACATATTTTCATTAAGCAGTTTACTTTGTTGCATTTTACCTGATGTACAGTTTTGTAGAACAAAATACAAATGTAAAAGTAATTCTGGATGCTTTAATCACAATTGAAGAGTCTGTATGCTACAACTTCAGCGTTCATATAAAAACATGCTTCATGTGCTATGACCTGTTCAATTTTCTGTAAAGGATTCTAAGATGTGTACATTTTTTTCATCTTCTGTAATTTTATTTAAGGGTAACTGCTAGTTTCTGGCCATTAACCATATAGTAGAGGAATCAGACATTCTTTTGCAGCAATTTAATTAATTTGGTGATTTTTTGCTTTTACTTTGTGGTATTTTGGTATTTCTCTGCTGTCTTTATACTCAGAGTAACAAGATAATAGTTGTTACAAAATAATTCCTTTATTTTGAACAAAATTCCCAGCAGATTATATATGCCTGTATATCAGAACGCATTAGTTAGGATATTTAATCAAGAACAAATTGCCCCATTGGGAGGAAAAAATGGGGAAAGAATAATTGCATGGATGCAGTGATAACACATCACTGATTCATTTGGTTAAGTTTCCTGAATTTGTAAAAATATTTATTTTTCTCCTCTGCCTTTAGAAAATGAAAATTGAATTAGATCAAGTTAAACAGCAGCTAATGGTAAGTAAACAGCAAGTACCTACACACTCCCATTAGGGGGAATAAATAACTATTTTCATAATCTTAATTTGTTTTAAAGACTGAAACTGGTAAAATCCGAGCTGACAGCAAGCTAGACATAAACCTGGAGAGGAGCAGGGTGACAGATATGGTAAGTTGGTCTGTGAGATGCCCTTATTAGCTTTGTGTTGTGTTTCTGTTGCTATAGCTGTGATTTATCTTTTATCCACAGTTTACAGATCAGGAGAGGAAACTGATGGAAGCCACTACAGAGTTTCATAAAAAAGTAAGTATTGAACAAAACAGGATTTAGTTATGCATTGTTTGTTATGTAAACCCCGATCTTTGCTGAAAGCTAATACGTTTATGGGTATGGTGAAGCAAAAGGCCAGGCTCTATCACTCAGAGCTGTTGCAGGTGTTTCTTGCCTGTGGGATTCATGCTAAACTCCAATCAGCAGAGGGAGGCATTCCAGCCTTGTCTCTCACTTCCCAGGTACCTTGTCACAGACTGGCACAGCTGGGATGTGAGCTATCATGCTTCCTTTTTCCTGATGAGCTGTACCACAGGGATGGTTCAGATGCCTACAGCCAAGCAATTCAAGGGCTGGAAATCCCAAAGCTGCTAGAGGACACCAGAGTCTAAGGGGCTGAAGAGCGACCATGTCCTAACTTGAGCATATCTTCCATTTTTGCGATATGCCTTGTGAATGCTTAAAACTTTGTTTTTCAAAAATGCAGGAACACTGTTCCATGGGCTGCAGAATATCTCTTTCAGGAGGTACTGGCACATCAGAGACAAAAGTCTGTCATGAGGGTGGCGAGACAGTGACACAGGTTGCCCAGAGAGGTTGTGGACTCCCCATCCATGGCAGTGTTCAAGGCCAGACTGGAAGGGGCTCTGAGCAACCTGGTCTAGTGAAAGGTGTCTCTGCCCATGGCAGGAGAGTTGGAACGAGATGGTCTTTAAGGTCCCTTCCAACCCAAGCCAGTCATTGATTCTGTGATCACTGAAGTTTTCTCTTGTCTGTCTCTATCCCTTCAGCCATCTTCCCGGATTGTATGAAGCAAGTTTGTCTTCTAATGTCTCTTAGCAGTGATAGGTTGGAAATTTTCTTGTTGCTGGTAGCATGGTATTTTAGTTCAGCTTTGGAAAGGTGAAGGGGGTAGAGACCATTGTCAAATATATGCTGTCTTTTAATATTTCAGGATGCAAATACCAACAGCATTATCTCAGAAATCAGTTATAAAATTGACACTGAAATAGCTTCCTTAAAAACACTCATGGAATCGAATAAACTTGATACCATTCGCTATTTGGCAGGTATGTGACAGGCAAAGAGGTGAGTACTGGTACTGGATTGTGGCTGTATAAAATTTTGTTCAGGAGTATATGCTAAATGAGGTCAGCTGTAGCAGCAGACAACTGGGATTGGGTAGAGGAGATATATCCCTTTCCCCCTCTAGCTGGAAGGAATGTGACAGAGAGTACAGAAGAGCTGGGAGCATGCCACTGTGGGACTAGGATTGTGCCCAGAACTGGGATTAGGACAAATATGGACATGGTTTAAAAAAGAAGCCTAAATACCATACCCAGTTTGACAGTACCTCTGCTTGCTGCAGCAGCCACTGATGTGATGGAGTTGCTACAGAAATTTTGCTGAGGTCATTTATGTTACCCTGAAGGTTTGCTGTCTTTCAGGATTGGTCTGAGAGTGACCAGTTCTGCCTTCACTGAGTCTCCACAGACACACAGTTTCTGTGTGGCAAGACTTGTACTTTGCCCTGCCAAGCAGAACTAATTTCAGAATGCTTGTTTTGCTTGTTGAAAAACATAATTTGAGATTAGTCTTCTGAATATGTACATAACCAGTGAAGATTTTTTTGTGTAGGAGCTGGATAAAAAGAGAGTAATGCATTATATTTGGAAGTGAGAATAAGTTTAAAGGAAAATGTAATTTGCTTTATTTTAACACTAATTGAAACAGCAGCATAACAAATCCGAAAAACAACTCATCAGGCTTCAGGACTGCTGCTGTGTTTGACAGCTCATTTTCAAATTCATTGTCATTTTGGTTCCATGGGAAATCTGGGATGTCTGATGTGAGCCCTGGTGTAGCCAGCTCTCCTGTAGTGCAGTTTCCAGTGTCAATAGTACAAGCCCTGTAGCCTGTGGTGCTCTGAGGTATTCAGCAGAGCTGTTGGGATGTGTCCCTGAAAACGTGGCTCCTCAGGCTGCTGCATTGGGCCTCCCATCTCAGCACTGCTGCTGTGCAGGGTGTGGCATCTGAGACCAGCCATTGGCTTCTGGAATTGTTCTGTTGCACCTGCAGCAGTCTGGGAGGTTTAGGAGGCTCTGCTCTAGAGCTGTTAATTCTTCCATCTGTTTGCAGCTAATTTGCTGTATGGATAAAGTGGTACAACAGCTAATTATCTCCTTTCTTTGGGTTTTGCTTTTTTGTCTTTTTTTTTTTTTTTTTTTTAACAGCTTCAGTGTTCACTTGCCTGGCAATAGCACTGGGGTTTTACAGGTTCTGGAAATAGATCTACATGGAATGACTCCACTAAGTACGGACAGAAAAGGCCACGCAGGCAACACCACCTTGATGATAACCTTGGCACCTTTTGGTTTTGATATTCTTCCTGTATAATAAAAATGTTTTCTGAATATGTAAAACTAAAGAGCAAAATAATTGGGAGGAAGTAGCCAAATAGTAATATTTCATTGTCTCCTATTCAATACTATTTATTTCAAAGTATTTCTTACACCATACCAGAAAGCTTCCTAATATCTTTTAGAATTAAATTTGTTTTCTTTCTGAAAAATTCTCACTCTCAGCTCATTACAAACTGGAAATATGAAACATTTTATATACCCTTGAAATGGGAATACAATTCCCAAATTAGAGCTCCCAGTATGGGTATGCTAATATCAGATTCAACCTACCTAAACTGCTCCAAGTAAATTAATCTTGAACATAAGTTCAAGATTTTGCCTCCAGTCTGTTCCTCACTTTTTTGATGAATGGAAGCTTGGCCCTTTGGGGTTTTTATCTACATATGTAAAAAAACACTCCTGAGCCTTTACTAAAGAACCATTTTTTTTCCTTGAAAAGTGATTTACATGAATTCAAAATCTCATGTACAGAATGTCTCTATAGATTTTCTTTAGTATGTCCTGCAATTTCTGTAAACCCAGAGGTCAAAAGAATGGGAAAATTTCTCTGTCTTTGCCTTTCCAAGTGGAAATACACAGCCCTGGGGCAGATAAGTGCTCTTAACTTCCAGGTAGTAGAGTATTTCTAAGAAACCTGCACATACTTTCTGGGCATAGTATCTGGCTTGTAATATGGAAATACTCAGAATCTCAGTGTGCCAGGGGGGTGGTGGTGGTGATCTGCCTCCAGGCTCTTTAGTAGTCCCGTGGGACACACTGACCCTCCTGGCCACTCTGCCTTCTGCAAGGACTTGACAGCTCCTGTTGCAGAATTGCAGCACAGGTGGATGCCTCCCAAAACTGAAGCAGTTCCATCTTGTTGAGTATAAATGCACATGCTTGGTTTGATTCTTTTAGTATAATAATAATTTTTTAAGTCTTTCTGGATTAACTTTGAAGTAAGAATAGGCCTTTTATGGGCTAAGGACTATTGGTAGTATTGACTACTGGCAATTTTTTAATCACTGTTTTATTCTGTTTACAGTTGAACTTGCTGGTATTCTGCCGATATATATATATTCTCTGCATTAAATTATTTATCATCTTCATTCAAGAAAATAAAACTAATTTCTTATATTTGCTGTCTGGCTATCTGAGAATTTCTGCATGAAAGTTTATCAGAGCAGGACAATCCCCTCCCCTTCCCAGCTGGCCTTGCTGTGCCTGATGCTCCCCAGGACAGGGTTGACCCTCCTGGCTGCCAGGGCACTGCTGGCTCATGTTCACCGTGTCATTGACCAGGACCCCCAGGTCCCTTTCCATGTCACTGCTTTCCAGGGTTTCATTCCCCAGTTTGTACATTCACTTAACAAAATTTACTGTCTGTTAACTGACAGATAAATTTTAACATTTTTGGTAAAAATAGAAACCAAATAATATAATGCTGAGTCTATCACTTGCTGTTCATGAATTGCATGTTACTCCCCTTAAGTAATGGGCCTATTCTTCCTTTTGTTGTCTTAATCTTTACATCTTGTATGGCTTTGAAAAATACAGAAATTAAGGAATAAAAGATAATTTCAACTAATGCTTATACATGCAAGTATATTTGTATCCTAATGCACTAAAATTTTTCTATATGTTCAACAACACTTGCAAAAGTCATGTGAGTACACTCCTCTGCAGAAGGTAAAGTTGATTAATCATTGTGGGGGAGCAAATAGGCCTTCATTGCAAATTACTCTCTGAAAAGAGAAGTAGGGACAAAATAATGGGTGCAGTTGCACAGCAGTGCATGTATTGATAGAGAAATGTCAAAAAAAAAAATTAAAAGTATTTTATAGATGGAGACCTTTATAAAAAGTTGTGATTTCTCTTCCATCCTTCAAATCTGAGCAGCATTATCTCAGAGAAAAGAAAAACTGGAGAAAAGGAACAATTCTTGCCCATTTTAGCTTTACAAAAGGTTGTTTATTGATAGTAATATATCATACTAAGGGGAATAGAGTTGTCTTGAGCAACTGCTCCCCTCCATCACCAAAATAAATCTTGAAGGAAAGTACTGGAAAAACAGCACCTTCCATGTTGTAGAAGAAAGCTAGTGACACAAGGAATGTGCTAGAGGGCTTAACCCATTTGGAGCAAGGAGGTGCAAGAATATGACAAGCAGGGTGAATACTACAAGTATTATGAGGAAGAGAAATGATTGTTGACTTATTAGAGCTGTATAAAATCATGGGATAAAATCTGCTTAAAATATTGTTTCATCTGAGGTGACTTACAGCTTTCAGTGTAAATAAAAATCCCAGAAGGTCTAGCTACTGTGCAGAAAAATCAAGTTTACTTCTACAAGCTATTTGTAGTAAAATTAGTTTGGGAGAAAAATGGTCATGGGGCTGGGTTTCTAAGCTGTTATCTGAAAGTATACAAAATTACAGTATCGAGGTGCATCCAGTCGAATACACAGCAAATGCAGTGCTCCCCAAAAGATATACAAATGTGTTTAAAGGATTTGTACATGCAGGTGGTGGGGAGCATGTTAAGTAAGAGCAGAAATTTAACCACAGCCTATGGTTTTAACCCACCATGCAGTATGGTTCCTAGTACATCATCCTTTTCTGTGTCTCATATGTGCCTAATGTAGGCTGATAGATTTCCTTTAGAAGCTGAACTATTTAGTAAAGTAAAGCAAGTTTTAGACAGAATGAGGTGTTCTCAATATTGAAAGGCTTTTGCTGATTATGTCATGTAAAGGAGTGAAAAAATACATCCTATACTAATGTAGAAATTCACAGCTGACTTTTTATTTCTGAAATCAAGTATGCCATGTGCTTTATCCAATTTGATCTCTTCTGTCATTGTGTCATTGAGCGTTTGAAATTAGCGTGTTGCCTTGGCCCTGTCTTGCAGTTATCCAAATTTTTTTTTTGGTGATCTTTGAACACATGTTCAATGGGGATTTAATCTTCCAGCTTTATAATATATCAGAATGGCCTTGGTAGGAAAAAAACCACTAATTGTCTACACATCACAAATCATTTCAATGTTCTTCTGCTGGCTTACAGCCTATCAAGCAGTCAACATTTCTCCTCTCTTTTATATTATAAAACAGCAAAAAGATAACTGTCCATGTCTGTAGTATTGATAACATTTCACATGCCTATCATAACTCCTTTTAATCTACTGTAAGATACTGTTTTTATACTTTCAATTTTTCATCATGCTAGAGATTCTCCATTTCTCTTATCCTACTTTGCATCTTTTTCTGAACTGCCACTAATTCTGTAATATCCTTAGTGGAAAAGGTATGACCAATACTTTGCAGCTTCCTAAAAGTAGTCTCCATATTGATAATTTGAATGGTAAGTCTGTATGTATGTATAGCTTATATTAACTTTTCCTGTGGGTTTTTTCTGTCTTTTTAGTTTTGCTCTATTTTGCAACTGCCTCTTGAAAAGATTTTGTGGGGGTATATAAAGTTCAAATTTCCACCGCCTTTATGCCTCAGTATGTTCCAAGTGGGATCATGACCAGAGGCAGAGTGAGCGTGAGACGCTTTTGTCAGATTACTGAACCAAAAGGGCTTGCAGTGCTTGCATAAAGGGAGCCTTACCATATATCTAGCACTCTTCCTGTTACCCTTAGGAGGTGGAATTAAAATGGGTGTCCTGGTTCAGGGCAAATTTGGGAAAGAACCCCCAAAGGGTTCCTCTAGGAAACAGATTCAATCAGCCCCTCCCCCCTATCTTTCAACGTTCGGGAAAGATACCTCCTTGGAGAAAAGTGGAAAAAAAATTATTAAACAAGCAAACTTAAACAATATTAAACAATAAAACTTCTTGCCACTCCAAGAGAGAGACAAACTCAGAAAAACCCCCCGGGTTGCAGCTCGGCTCACTCAGTCTCTGATCAGTCCCTCCAGCTCTGGAAATGCCGCAGCCCAGACCCGGCCCGCTGGGCCACAGGTGCGATCTGCTGCTGCTGTTCTGGTGTTTAGTCCAGAGCAGGTCCCAAGAAAGGGAAAAAAAGCCACAGTCCAGAGAACTTCTTTGCCTCAGCTAGCTAAAACTAACTCGAAAAGCAAAGGAGAGCTCTGTCTCGCTGTCTGTCTGTCTGCAGACAACACAGTCCAGCAGCAGGAATGTGGAGGAGGGAGTGCAGCTCTTGAAAACAAACTCCTCGCTTCTCCCCCGCCCACCCCTTCACTCCTGGAACAAGTCTTAAAGGTGCAAAACTTATTATTCAACATAAACAGAGCAGACAATTGGGGATAAAGGCATCATACAGTCCACCTAGGACATTAGGTAACTCAGATCATGAGTAAAAGTTGTTAGATTGCACGCTGTGTGCTTGCTTTACAGATTTAAAAAAAAAAAAAGTTTTTAGCACAATTGATTGGGTAGTTCTGGCAGTCCCAAACTTCAGTACTAAGACAACTAAATCTAATTAAATACACAGCAATAATATAAGCAGTTATTTATGAAAAGGAAGCTTATGTGGAGAACGCCATGGAAACATTGTTAAATTCATCAATAACATGGCTTGATTTACATATTGACAATTATTCTACCAACTCAACTCCTGATAAATATATTATTAGTCTGTTTAGTCACAGTAAACGTGTGTTGTTTTCCCTCTCTTCAATGGACCTCAGTGCAAATATTGCAAATGAATATGAGAAGCTGTATTTTTTCACATAGAGCAATTTTGTATATAGTGGTTGTTTGGCTGGGAGATGAAAAGATGGACAAAAAATGTCCTCAATAACTTCTGGAGGAACAAAAATTATCTTTAAAAAAATGCCTCTTTAAATTTCACTTCAACCTAATTCCCAGGTTTTGGGGAGTGTGCCAGACCCTTCTGCTTATGCCCCAAATCAGACCTGTTTCCTTCTGTTTTGTCAGATACTCTTACCCAGTACTTTTTGACTCTTGCACATAACTACTTTCTGATACTCACGCTTCAGTCATGTCCCATCCTGTGAAACACCACAAATCCATTTTTATTTATTCCTCCAACTCCTGCTCTTTTTTTCCTCAGTGCTTTCTTTTATTGCCATCCTAGTCTTTTTGATGAATCCAAGCTTTCTTCCTCCTGCTTGCTGCTGTCACTTTCACTTATTTCACTTTCACTATCGTTTTCACTTGCACTGCTTTCACTTGCACTGCTTTTGTTTCATGTTCCCTACTTTCCCTTTCACATTCACTACTTTCACTTTCAGTTATTTAATTTTCACTTTAACTACTTTTACTTTCATTTTCACTTTCAGTACTTTCACTTTTGCTTTCAGCACTTTCACTTTTGCTTTTACTCTGATTTCACTTTCGCTGATTTCACTTTTACTTTTGTTTTCAGTTCTTTCACCTTCCGTTTCAACTACTTTCATTTCCACTTTCACCACTTTCACCACTTTCACTTTGACTATAATTGCTTTCATTTTCACTTTCGCTGCTTTCACATTTGCTGCTTTCACTTTCATTTTTACTTTCACTGCTTTCACTTTCACTGCTTTCATTTTGTTTCACTTCCACATTCACTTTCACTACTTTCACATTCATTTTCACTCTAAATTCACTTTTGTTTTCACTACTTTCACTTTCACAGCTTTCACTTTCACTTTTTCTTTCACTTCTTTGACTTTCATTCTCACTCTAATTTCACCTTCGTTTTCACTACTTTCACTTTTGCTTTTGCTGATTTCAGTTTACTTTCAGTTTTACATCTTTCACCACTTTCACTTTTGCTTTCACTTTCACATTCACTCTCACTGCTTTAATTTTCACTTTCGCCATTTTCACTATCGTTTTCAATTTCACTGCTTTCATTTTCACTTTCACTCTAATTCCTTTCACTTTAACTTTCACTTCCACTTTTGCTTTCACTATTTTCACTTTAGTTTTCACTCTAATTTCACTTTCTTTTTACTATTTTCATTTTCACTTTTCCTGATTTCACTTTTACTTTCAGTTTCAGTTCCTTCACCTTCACTTTCAACTACTTTCACTTTCATTTTCACCACTTCCAATTTCACTTATTTCACTTTCTCTCTCATTCTTTCATTTCCACTTTCACTACTTTCACATTCATTTTTGCTTTCACTTTCACTTTAAATGCTTCCAATTTCAGTTTCACTTTTA